GAGGGGCATGTAGTAATATATATAGGAGGAGACCTACAATCCTATTCCTACTAACAGTCCCCATGTTCTAACCTAACTTACTGTCCAAGTCAAACATCACACATTGGACTCTTTAATATTAGAACATTAAATAATCTATTAAATACATATTCATCTTTAATAAAGTTTGACTATTAATTCAATTAGGTCTAACTAATTATATGGTCCACAATAATTGAATAATATATAAAATATTATTACAGACACCACTCTTTGTATCCAATTTAGGTGTTACAAATTTTAAGTTAATCAAGTATTGGATTTGTACTGCACAGATATTGGGGTGTCGTTGGTTGGTGTCGGTTGATTTATTTGATTGGGCATGAGATAATTATAGCTGTAAACGAGTCGAGCGAGTTGGAGCTCGGCTCATTAAGGCCTCGAGTTCGAGCCTTAACGAGTCGATCTCGAGCTTCAACAAACCGAACTATAAAAAATTATATAAAAATTCTATTTTCGAGCCTTAACGAGTCTTATCGAGCCGAGCTCGCCAAGCGAGCTTTAAATGAGCTCGAGCTCGGCTCGTTAAGGCCTCGAACTCGAGTCGAACTCGAGCCTTAACGAGCCGAGCCAAGCTCGTTTAGTTTAACATCACTAGATATAATTAAGCTAGTTGCCCTTATGATATATTGTATTGTATAGGAAATTCAGTAGAGCAAATTGCACCCTTACTTCAGCATCTTAATTATATTATAAATTTATAATTATACACCCATTATATAAACATTTATATAATTACAAATTAAGCATAAAATTTGCAAATATACCTAAGGAATAGCAGTTAAATTATACTAGATAATTAAGGAAAAGTTGCACATTTTACTGGCAAATTAAATACACAATATCTCTGCAACAAAAAGACCCCCCACCGCCCACGTTCACCATCTCCACAGTAAGAAAAACTTCCTCTCATCGGCTTCCCAACCTACTTCAATGGCGAAGACAAAAATCACTCGCTCTCCTCGAAAAAAAAAAACCGGCGAACGAAGGGGATGAAACACATAAAATCAAGTTCCTGGCTTAGTAAGATCCTTTCAAAATCAAAAACCAAACTCATTCAGAAGAAGCTCGTTTTTGAGAGAAATATGAAGAACCCTAACCCTAATAGCAAGCTCCATTCGGCGGGATCGTAAATCCATTCGGTGAGCGTGTTTTAGGGCAACGGCAATTGTGCAGGCCGAGGGCCGAAAATCAAGAGGGACGCTGATTCGGTGCGGAAAAATAAGAGAACCACCACTGATTTGGAGGTCGGAGGTCGCAGATATGGTGGCGCTTGTTCCTTGTCGTTAAAAAAAAAAAAAACGCGAAGATGTGCAGGTGGGACTTTGGAAAGATGGTGTAATTTTTGATTCGGAGATGGTGGGTATATTACTCTCAGGCTCCCTCTGAACCCTATCTCGCCGGAATTCTTGAAAATCGCGGCAAGTGCTATTTAGGACAACAGCGATTTATGCGGGTCGCGAAAGAAGGTTGCCAAAAGCATACCCAACGAACGAAGCGAAGTGAAGTCACAGAAGCATAGGTCTACCGATTCAATGCAAAAAATCAAGAGGACACAAAAATTCGTGGCGAAAAATGACCGCTAATTCGGAGGTCGGAGGTCGCAAATCTAGTGGCACTTGGTTCTTTTCGTGAAAAAAACAGAGAAGACGGTGGGACTTGGGAGAGATGGCACGTGTTCCCTTGTCGCAAATTAGTTTATGATTGGTATATGTCCAGTATATGTACATAATACATGTTTTTATCTCTCTTTATTATTTTATGATCAATATATATAGTATATGTACATATTCTTTTGTGGAATACATGTATTCATTGCAACATATATAGAATATATACGAACAGAAACGCAATATATACCAACCTGCACAATTGCGTGAGTTACTTTAGGCTTTAATATAGATAAATAAGGTCTTTTTGTTGTGTATTTGTGTGGTTTATTTTTTAAAAAAACTGTTTACAAAGCATAAGTAAAATAAACAATACGTAAACTCAATATATACTAAAAAATATTCAAAAACTGATTTAAAACAAGCATAAACTGATTTTTTTTTTATTTTTTATTTCTATGGTTTATATTCAGTATACATTTTTCCGGTATATGTATGGTTTATATTTAGTAAAATCATGAAAAATACATACAATATATATACCAAACATTTTTTATGGATTATTTTATGTATATATATTAAATATATATTCAGTATATATTAAGACAAAAGTTTTTGTGCGTGTGTAAAATCACATTCCATGCTGCTTAAAAGTGAGGCTTCAATTCTGTA